ACAGAAACATCCGGCGCGAATCACCATCAACGGGAGGGATTTGAAAGAGGTTACTTCACTTCATTCACTTATCTAGGGAGGGAGCATTGTCTTAACTACAGGAAGTCGGAACGGACGACGATGTGAAATCGAGCGAGAATCGGGGAGGGCGGCGAGAAACACATTCACTCATCAACCTGAAACAACCAACCTGGAAACCAATCTTCGTCACTCAGCCAACATCAACAACGAAATTCCATCGGTCGGATTTTCAATACAAACACGTCAAGTCAGTCAGTTCTTCTGCATAGAAGGGATCAGAAGGTTGGTGGGTGGGTCACAATGACTATTTCCACCAACAGCCTGTTGTAGACGTTGCCTTTATCAACAACTACCTACCTGTCTTCGCTGGATCTATACTGGGGGCCGGGAAGAATCACCAACAACAAGAAACTATGGGAACAAAAAATCAAACAAACAAACAAAACAAGAAGCAATCGCCCAACAACAGCAAATATACAGTAGGAAGTGGATTGAGATGGATTGGACACTCGCTTGCTGATGAGGCCGCCGCTGGGTGACATCGCGCGCGCGCGCTCGTCAGGCCATCGCTCGAGTGGAACCCGACAGAATGGGAAGCGGCGAGTGGGTCGTCAGTGCAAGGGTGACATGGAGGAGATGGTGTGAAGGGGAGTTGAAAGAGTATGGACTAAGATGGATGCAGGTGAAGAGTACATGAGAAGACGGAAGCAGGTGGAGACGTGCAGTTGAAGCTCTATATTCCACTAGGAACCCCAGGGAGCAATGATAATAGTAAATAATCTATCCAGCCAGCTAGAGTAGGTGGCAGCTGTTGGTGAAAGTCTGCAATCGAATGTTGGAAATGCTTTTCCTGACGCACGTGCAATGTAAGTTTCTCACCTATAAAGAAGCATTCACTAATTGACTGACTTCGCTGACAGCTGTGTTGAAAATCCGAATTTTGTTCTCTATGATACTGAGGTGGAATGTAGAAGGATTCCAAACTGGTTTTAGGTGGATGAAGGCATGAGTATCTTGTCTGTCCGATTCTGGCTGGCTGACTGATAGTTTTCACATCTTCATCCATTTCAACTGCCTGTTATTGGAACTATGCTGCTGCTTAGGCTAGATGAGATAAGCGTCTTTTTCCCGTTCATGGTGATCAGTGCCGGTTGTTGTTACTTGTGAGTGTTGGTTGGTTATCTTCATCACCACCGCCATATTTGTGTTCACTTGGAGTCCTGTATTGGAAGGGAATGTTATTTATCAACGAAATCATCTTCACGGGCTGTTGTCGTACAGTAGTATTTTCTTTTTACCAAAAATCTATCGGAGTCCAACATTGATTAACAGGGTGGAATGTAACTGATATCACTACTCAGAAGCGGTTTCACAAGTGGAAATTAACGCTATAAAAGTGAGGAGTGGATATCCTTCAAGATTCATCCAGAGAAACATGAAAGTCAGTTAAAACCCTGAGAGAATCGAAACGGTTCCGAAGAAACTACTGTTCATGAACGTTGAATTTAAAAGTGATACTGTAGCTGAGATTTTGAAGAACCACTGCCTTTAAGGCTCACTAAGGAATGCCTTCTTTTTGGCTGAGCTACGGATCAGTTTATTCAGCCAACAAATGATCAGTGGATGTGTGAAGGTTAAACTGCCTCCTTGGACGATCGAGCCACTTCAATGTGTGCTTATGAATTCTATTATGGATAAGATTTCATTTCACACAGTGTCATACAGTAAGTAATATTAGTTAGTAATATCAGTTAATATTACTGTATAACACTACACTGTATGATTTATCAAGATGAAATCCTATCCATAATGGAGTTATACTCTACCACCACAGTGATCAAGTTTTGTACTTATATCAATGTTCATAAATTCACCTGCTCGTGTCGAGCTGGTTATATTGACCGTCTGCATAAACCACACACAGTTTCCAAACGCATCTCTGAACATTACTCGGCGCCGTCAGCAATGGGACAATGCAAGACAGATACTAGCTAGCTCACTTCTCAACCACTCAGTGAACTCAGGCCACTCAGCCCCACCGCAGTCGTCTTTTAAAGATTATCTGCAAGGTGAGAACATATGGTGCGAAGGGAATTAGTTTTCGACATTTGTTTATGGCAGAGGCGTTAGCAGTTTGTCAGTATAACCGCGAAATCTGTATACAGAGGAGGTTTGTCCAGCGCCTTATTCTTCCATGATCCCAACCTCTTCATTAAACGTTCCCTGTAATTTTTCATCTTTATTTCTAATGATTAGCCTGCTTTTTACTATAATAAATAATTCACTATTATCACTCTCATATGTTCTTTTTTGTACATTTTCTCACCATCTTCACACCTGTTGAATGAACAGTCAACTATCACCTTTCTTCTCATTACTCAATAAAATTTCTAACTGTTTCTTCCTTTGTGCCGTTGTTGAGTATTACGTAACTTACAATTTTAATTTTTACTCGTGAAGCCATTTGTGAGTAACTAAACCACACACACACACACACATCCCTATTACTCAATAATGGACTACCCTATATATTTGGTAAATATATATACCATTGTACAGCCAGCCTGTGAGGATGATTTCGTCCATAAAGAAACATTTTCTTCGCTGAACTATCTTTTCAATATAGGGAGAATATTCATTCAGAAATTTCTGAAAAACATCGAGGAAACGATATCCTTTTCGATAATTTTCTCCTGCACGTACTTTATGTGATGAAAGTGATGTTAGGCATGAACTAACTAACTAACCTTCTATGCATCACTAAATAAACCATTTCTTCCACCCTTACAGTACCAAACTTTATTGTTATTGTATTTCTTATATTTATAATCCTCTCTATTTTTGTTTTTATTTATTTATTTATTTTCCATAAGTGTGAACATCATTTAAGCTGTTTTACCAGTGTTTTCAAACAGAATCGCCAATACTATTTCAAACAAACTCACTGCTATTATTATTGTTATTATATTTAATACTCTTAATTCGTGCTTAGAATATTTTTGACTTTATATCGTAAACTGGGGAAAATCCCTCTGGTTGCTTTTGTTTGAATTTTTAATTTTATTTATATTTTGAGTAAATCAGATGCAAGGTGTTGTGACAAATGCTGAGAATTCCATTCTGTATTATAAGTACTGTCTGTTTTGGGGTAAAGTAGATAACAATAATAATAATAATAATTTACTTTATTCCAAAAACAGCACTTGTGATACAGAATGGAATTTTCAGCGATAAGCTCAATATTGCATCTAATTTCCTCAAATTATATATAAAATTATTCACACAGAAAACCTTCCACATTTACAATAGGGGTAATGTCAAAAACATGCAGCATGTAAAATGGAAATAATAATAATGATAACACCTAAGGTAATAATAATATAAGTGATGAGAACTGCCGTGGGCTTGTTTCACACGGTATTGTTGATGCGATATAGAAATCCTAACATGTTTAAAAATATTGAATATAATGTTCTCTTTAACATGATGATGATAGTGAGGGGAAAAACAAAGATTACAGCAGTCATAGAGATAAGTTGGTGTTTGCAATTATGAGAGTAAAACAAACAAAGAAGTAACAGGACCATAAATATAATAGAAGTAATAAAAGTGAAACTTGAAGGTATATAAGGATGGATGGAGGAAATTGTTTATTTACTAGATGAAAGAAGGTTGGTTAATTCTCGCCTTACACTATTTTCATCACATAAAATACGTGCCAAGTATGGCATCATAGAATTTTTACACTTAGACGTGCGAGCATACAGTTTTCTGAAGTTAATTCTTGTTTTACCTGAGGAGATGCAACATGAAAGAAAGCTGAGGGTGAAGTGGATGCTCCTAGTCAGACAAAATCCCTCTAACAAATTTTGTTGCACGAAGTCAAGCGCCTATCGATAACAACACTAACTATGCGGTCCACTGGGACACCACTCACCCTACTGACAGTCTTCAGCATTCTACGAATTGTGACATAGTCCTTTTTTAAGCAAACCAGGAAAGAATAAGCAGGGGTGAACAATAAAGAAGAATAGGTGGGACGCAAGAGTTTATGAACTGTAAGAGGGAGGGTGGGTTGAGTTATACCCGAGTGCCTTGTCTAAACTTCTTAATGTAAAATGTCAGGTGGGATATTTTACTGGAGATCGCTAAGACATGGAAAGACTAGGAGAGATCAGAAGAGAGAATAAGTCAAAGATACTTAATTTCTGACTTAATTATATATATATATATATATATATATATATATATATATATACTCCAGAATTGTCGTCACTGGGGATATTGCGGTATTTCAAATAATGTCGATTTGTTAAGATCAGTGGAATTACAGTTCAAGAAAGACGCTTAAATTACAATAATAAGTATAAAAGTCCAATGGCAAATAGAATATCATAAAATTAAAGAAAATTCTATAACAACAATAACAAAATTAAGGATCATTAAAACCTTCATTAATGGCCAAGGTAAGGAAAGCGTGTGAACTAACTTCTCCGTTCGGATACATAGATATGACTTCTTAATGTGGATTCCAACCGCCTCAGCAGTATGTAAAGGTAAAATTAAGACTAGTTGGTAAACGGTAGATGACTCTGAAAGCCACCCTTATTAACATCAATCCAGTGTTCTGTATTCACGAGATGACAGAGTACAGAACTATGAATGAACTTTTATTTCTCCCTTACTTAACCAACGTGCAGGATGGCGTTGGGAAACCCAATGACAGACACGCCTAATTGTACGGCCTATGCAACTATAACTGGCTCGCTCCACAGCAAGAGCAGTTAAATCGGTAGATACACAAAGAAGCAGAGGCGAAATTAGGCAGTTAACTAACTCCTAGTTCACAACAATTTAAAGTAGAATGATAGTGATGGCAACGCTCTTATAAATATATTACTAAGCATAATTTTGTTCTTTCCAGTGATTTTACTATAATCCACTATTTGTTGATTTTCATTTTTATTTTCACTAAACAGGGTCCAACACCAGAAACATTTTCAGATTTTTGGCGTATGATATGGGAACAACGCGTATCGATAATAGTCATGATGACAAAGTTGGAAGAACGTTCCCGTGTCAAATGTGATCAATACTGGCCATCACGTGGACCAGAATCATTTGCCGGTGGTCTTCTTCTAGTTAAACCTATCGACACTATTGAATTAGCCTACTATACAATACGGACATTTCATTTAACCGCTCGTGGTATTGAAGATGAATGCCGACAGGTGAAACACTTCCAGTTTACAGGTTGGCCTGATCACGGTGTACCTGAATATCCAATCCCATTGTTACTGTTTATTCGTCGAGTTCGAGCCACTTTAGCAGCGAATACAAGTAGTATGTGTCAGTCGAATCATAATATGGAACAAACACCGATTGTTGTACATTGTTCTGCTGGTGTAGGAAGAACAGGTTAGTTTAATGCGATCAATAATGTAATTATATAAATATATATATCTTTAAATATTCCCATTTCTAATATTAGAACAAGACATATAACGGAAAAATATTGTTGTTTTCAATTAGATCTTCTTCAGGCTTCACTCTAATTTACATAGATTTATATATAAAATAATTTTTAACCAATGACGGTGATTTTGTGGATCAAATAATATTAATAGTAATAATAATAATGTGGTAAATGTTTTGAACGTAGTTAATAACGGTGATTATAATGATAATAAAATATTGATAATAAGGTTTATGCAGGTGGCGATAAGAATAACAAAGGTAGTATATGTATGTGTGTGTACACGTAGACAATTCAATAAATAAACAAATTAGGTCAAATCTTAAAAGTTACTTAATGCTAAAGGTAGGTGAAGTGGACAGGTAGTCAAAGTGCGTCGGTGGCACAGTGTTTAGGACTCTCGCCGACCATGCACATGGTCAGTGCTATTGTGATATGAAGGAGATGGTGTGAGTTGGAGAGAAGACAAGATGCGAGATTATGGGAAATCGTTCTGCTAGCCAGGTGAAGAGGATGGCGGAAAATAGAAGGACGTGTGGATATGTTGTTGAAGCCGTACGTTCCACTCGGAACCCAAGGGAATAATAATAACAAACCTTGAACTTCATGCAATTGGTCCCCTTGATAAATTTCTGTAAAGAAAGGAAGACGAAATTTGCAGTATAAAATGATATCGTCATTCTATTTCACAGGTTTTCATCAGCTAACTGGAGACTACCTGAAATTACAATGGTTTTATAGATTATAACAGCATACTTTAATGTTTGAGTGGTGGTAGAGAAGAGATACTATAAAATTGACGCATCTAAATGAAAGCATTACAATGTTTTTAGTTTAAGGTTTCATCAACAATTTATACGTTTTTAAAGGTGAAAAGATTCGCCGAAGCAATCGCAATCAAACAATTCAAAACAAACATATACCTAAAAAAAGAGAGTGTGATCAATCTCTCACTCCCTTGGTAACAGAATTTTGATTTTGATTACATTAATTAGTCATCTAATTCAGTGATCTCAACTCACTGAACAAAGCTTAATTCTCATAAACTGTAATCGCTTTTGTTTTGTTTTTTTTTGGAGTTGCTATGTGAACAAGCTACAAGCTGACACTGTTCTGTTAATCAATTTTTCTGTTTTCTATCTTACCCCTCCCCCTTCTCTCCTTTCAACTTTGAAAGCGTATAAATTGATGATGCAAACTTAAACTAAATATTGTAATACTTACAATTTCGGGTGCGTCGTCAATTTTATAGTATCTCTTCTCTACTACCACTCAAACATTAAAGTATGTTATTATCATCACTTATATAACCATTGTAATTTCAGGTAATAGTCTGGAACTGATGAAAACCCGTGAAATAGAATGATGATGTCATTTTATACTGCAAATTTCGTCTTCCTTTCTTTATAGAAACGTTGAACTCTCAACTCGTAACCTAGATACCCTGAGTGGGATACAACAACTCAGATATTAAGCACAATGCATCTACAGATTTAAACTGAAAATTGTAAAACAGAATTGTGGACCTAATACCGACTACCAAACATATTTTGGCAGGTTATTCATCTCATAAGCTTTAGGATAATGGGAAAAAATTCAGATTTGTTTTTTTAACACAATTCCACGTTACTAGTCTAATCAGAGATTTATTGTCAGTTCGGTATTATTATTATTGTTCCCTTGGGTTCCTAGTGGAATATAGAGATTCAACTGCACGTCTCCACCTGCTTCCGTCTTCTCCTGTACTCTTCACCTGCATCCATCTTAGTCCATACTCTTTCAACTCCTCTTCACACCATCTCCTCCATCTCACCCCTGCACTGACGACCCACTCGCCGCCTGCTTCTCTTTCGGTTGGGTTCCACTCGAGCGATGGCCTGACGCGCGCGCGCGCGCGATGTCACCCAGCGGCGGCCTCATCAGCAAGCGAGTGTCCAATCCATCTCAATCCACTTCCTACTGCATATTTGCTGTTGTTGGGCGATTGCTTCTTGTTTTGTTTGTTTGATTGTTTGTTCCCATAGTTTCTTGTTGTTGGTGATTCTTCCCGGCCCCCAGTATAGATCCAGCGAAGACAGGTAGGTAGTTGTTGATAAAGGCAACGTCCGAAACAGGCTGTTGGTGGAAATATTCTTTGTGACCCACCCGCCAACCTTCTGATCCCTTCTACACAGAAGGACTGACTGACTTGACGTGTTTGTATTGAAAATCCGACCGACGGAATTTCGTTGTTGATGTTGGCTGAGTGACGAAGATTGGTTTCCAGGTTGGTTGTTTCAGGTTGATGAGTGAATGTGTTTCTCGCCGCCCTCCCCGATTCTCGCTCGACTTCACATCCTTGTCCTTTCCGACTTCCTGTAGTTCAGACAATGCTCCCTCCCTCGATAATTGAATGAAGTGAAGTAACCTCTTTCAAATCCCTCCCGTTGATGGTGACTGACGCCGGATGTTTCTGTTGCTGTTGTTGTTGTTGTTGGTTGATTGGTTGGTTGGTTATTTTCATAACCTGCATCTTGTTCACCTATGTTCACCTGGAGTCCTGTCTTCGCCGGCCTCTTCTTCGACCAGTTTACCGGTTTTCGCTTGATAGGTGAAGTCTTCGAGTTTGTGTGTGTGACATCAAAAATAAATCATCCACGCTCGAAATCCACGTCTTCTAGGTTCTTCACGTCAGTCGGCCCAGGATATCCCTCCCTGTCTTCTCGTTTCCCTGTCACTGTCTGACGCATAACCCAGTCAGTCGACCACAATTAGGAATATCATTCATTGGTGATAATTAAGCGAGCACCCTCGTCTGACTCTTGTGGTTACTCCAAACGCCTCGCTGAGTTTTCCGTTGTGGATGACTTGACATGTGCCGTTGTCGTCCATCTGTTGAATAAGGTTGGTGAATATTTGGGGTACACCGTAGTACTCGAGTAGTTTCTAAATTACTTCGCGGTCAACGCTGTCTTTCGAAGGGCTTCTCGAAGTCTATGAAGTTGAGGTAGAGACTTGATTACCATTCCATGCTTTGTTCTGTGATGATGATACGTAGAGTTGCAGTTTGTTCAGAAGATTACTTGTCTTTACTGAATGCATCTTGTTCTGGTCGGAATTCTGTTTCCAGTGCTTCCTTTATTCTCTCCAGGATGTCAGTTAGAGGACCACTGGAAAATGAGTCGTGAGTGCTTGAGACCCCTACCGGGGGTGGAATCCAGCAGAATTTGGAATTCATGGGCTATTTAACTCGTCTTCTCACCAGTCTTTGAACTATTGCTATGCTCACTTCATAACCTAAAGATGGCTTAGTATCACACTGGACCTAGTTTTTCAATGGTTCTCCAGTTCATGTTAATTTAGTGATTGAACCTAAAATTTCATTTATTCGTGATCAGATCAGAAACAGTAGTACTAGTGGTGTGTTTCAGGTGATGGTGTTGGTGATACTTATTGAGTGCGTAGCAGTCAAGTCATTTCATACCAGATAAAACCTGCCAATCTCTCAAATTTTTCATCCGCATTCGACTTTAATTCTGAATTACTGACACTTTGCAATACTACAGCACATTTTGTGTGTGTATGTATGTGTTTGTCTCTGAGTAGACACTTTTATGTGTCCGATTCCACTGACTGATATTGCAAAGAGAGAAGGAGAGAATTGGACAGCAGATAGATGGGAAGAGATAAAAATGAATGGATGAATGCACATCAGTTATAACAACAAACTTCGTGTGTGTGTGTGTGTCTGTGTATGTATGTGTATGTGTTTGTATGTTGCATGTGTGTGTACATACATATTGTATGTCCGTATAAGTTTCAAATTAAAACCAAACAACAAAGATGATCTAGTTACTTCTACTCACCGGATGGTGATAATATATTGGTAATAATAATAATAATAATAATAGAAATAATAAGGCAAAGAGGAATCAAAAGTTTAAGCGAATGAATGAAATATCGATTGATGGCTAATTCTGCTGGCTATTGACTAACCTACAATGACAAATCTACACTGTGTCATTCGACGGCCGCTTGCCTCAGTGTATGCTCGATCAGTCCATCTCAATTTCCTCCTACTGATATGTTGAGCAATCAACCCTTGCTTGGTTTCTTCCCACAATCGTTTGTTGCTAATTCTGCCTGGCCGCCCACCTGGCCATTTCATCTTCAGTATGGAGCCAGCCAGCCAGCCAGTCAGTGAAGGTGGCAGCTGTTGGTTGATGAAAGTCCGCAGTCACCTGTTAGAAATGCTTCTCGTTAGGCACGTGCAGTGCAAGTTTCTCACTCATACAGAAGCACTAAATGACTGACTGACTTCACTGACATTTGTGCTGGAAATCCGAATCTTGTTCTCTATGCTGCTGAGGTGGATGAAGGCATGTGTATCTTGTTTTTCCGATTCTGGCTGGTTAGCTGGTGGCTTTCATGCCTTCATGCATTCTGATTACCTGTGGTTGAAATTATGCTGCAGCCTAAGCTAGATCAGATAAGGGAACGCAAGTAATCACCTCTTTCAACCTCCTTCTCCTGTTGACGGTGATTGGTTGGTTATTTTCATCACCACCGTCCCCACCTCCTCTATGTTCATCACCTGGATGGAGTTTTTCCTTCCTTCGCTGTCTGTACAGCCAGTTTGTTGCCAGTTGTCTCCTTCCTGCCTGCCTGTAAGTCTTCCAGTTTGTGTGACATTCAACGGTATAAATCATCCACACACAAAATCCACATCTTCCCGAGTCTTTTCCTCGGTCAGTGAAGCGTATTCCTGTCTCCCCACTCACTCACTGCCAACGCAAAGTTTGACGCATGATTTAGTCAACCAGACATTTGTGAACATCATTGGTGATAGTAGGCAGCCTCGTCTTGTGCCTGTCTTCACTTCAAAGGCGTTGCTGAGTTTTCTATTGTGGATCACTCGTCACATGATACTGTCATATAGCTAGCTATTGAATGAGGCTGACGAAGACCATAGGATGATTTATTTGCTTAGACTTGAGTTTGTTTATGTGTGTATGTAAGGAGGGAGAGAGGGATTAGAAATCCAACAAAAACTCAACAGAAACGAATCAGAGTATAATAAAAAAAAAAACTGCGTCAATTGTTGGTTTGAAGCTCACTGGCGTCTGAGATTCTATACAGGAAGTTACCTGGGTTTTTAGTGAGAAGATATTGATGACTAGTGGGGTCCACCAAGTCTGGTTAAGGAAGAGCTACATGCTATAACACTGGCTGGACGTCGCGCTATATATATATACATCAGGAATTGTCAAAAGTTGGAATTCATGGTCTAGCCATCGGTCTACAAGATTGTTCCCATTACCGGAACGTCTTCGGTTCTACCTATGTCAGGTGCGTACTGCTAAAGAGTCCCAAGCGCTAGGACAATAAAGAGGACATTTGGTTCCTGGATTTTCGATCGTCCTGTTATTTGCAGAAATATAGGGGGAAGTGTAGTAACACGGAAAAATGGATTTCGGAGACCTTAAAAATTAAATACATCTTCACCATTGACATTGACGTCTAGCCATATCACCAATATTCGCCAGCCATCGGTCCTTAGAATCCCAACGGCCTAAATCATGGCTTAAACTAACCATCAGAGGTTTTTTCAACTGATTCCACATTTGGCTGGACCATCACTAGCTCTTTTACAATGTGATCCATCCTATTTCAGCTAAATTTTCTCATTGGAGAAAGTGATGGACTTGTACGCGTAAATCATGTTCCAACCGTCTTAATCAACGTGACTTCACAATCCCACGGACTGACTTTCTCTCCCTAACTAAGGCTCAGCACCTAACTTCAATATTATGGGGGATAGAAGGCAGGCACCTATGATCAAAAGCTTTGCATGTCTTCCATTCTCTGTGACATGTCCCACAGTCAGTCAGCCGGCCAGCCATATAAGAGGACGGAGCAGTCGGCTGAGCAGTTTACACGCCCGGATATCACATCGGCTAAGTCCGCCAGAGATCGGAGTGGTATAAGTTGTCTGACAAATACCAAACCAGCCTTCTGTATCCGTATCTGGCTGAGATTTCCTCAGCGATGAGATCGACCCGTTGGGATTGGCTGTGTTGATGCAACCTCCCAAATAAGTGAAGTGATCAACGCACTCTACTACTACTTCTTTCCCTATGTTTAAGCTAGGAGTAGTCAGGAGTGAACCGCTCGCATACCAAAAATTCAAAGAATGCTACTCAAGCTCAAGTTGTTCAAAAGACTCCACATTTCTTCATTCTTCACCTGGTTGACAGGGCTATATCCTCTGCGTTATATGAGTCGACAAGACTACTCAACCTTGGTAACAAGTAAATTCTTAAGTCGTTGAATAGCACTCAGAGAGTACCGAAAATAACTCAGAGAATTCACGTTTCCCCCCCACCCTAACAGGTTAATCTGGTGAACTTTTAATGTCAACTTTTACAATTTAATTTGATTGTTATGTTATATTACCCAACAATCCATCTGTTATCGATTAATTTCAAGTTATACCATCCCCCCTCTCTCTCGTTCATTATCAGGAGCATTCATTGTAATCGACATAATGCTGGAACGATTGAAATATGAAAAAACTGTGGATATTTATGGATGCGTCAAAGCCTTACGCAGACAACGTAACTTTATGGTGCAGACAGAAGACCAATACATATTTATCCATTCAGCCCTACTGGAGGTTATCGATGCTGGGAACACTGAAGTTCTGGCGAGAAATCTCTCCGCACATATTAAAAAGCTACGTATGCTTGATGCAACCGGTGGATCTGGTATGGAATTAGAATTCAAGGTAGGTTAAATGTGCAATACTGACTGGTTCACAACACTACTGGCGTGTATGTGTGCGTGGTTGCGTTCCTTAACTACGTGGTTTAATTGGTTACAGGTTGTTTGTCGGTTGGTTGGTTGGTTATCTTCATCACCTCCGCCATATCTGTGTTCACTTGGAGTCCTGTATTGGAAGGGAATGTTATTTATCAACGAAATCATCTTCACGGGCTGTCGTACAGTAGTATTTTCTTTTTACCAAAAATCTATCGGAGTCCAACATTGATTAACAGGGTGGAACGTAACTGATATCACTACTCAGAAGCGGTTTCACAAGTGGAAATTACCGCTATAAAAGTGAGGAGTGGATATCCTTCAAGATTCATCGAGAGAAACATGAAAGTCAATTAAAACCCTGAGAGAATCGAAACGGTTCCGAAGAAACTACTGTTCATGAACGTTGAATTTAAAAGTGATACTGTAGCTGAGATTTTGAAGAACCACTGCCTTTAAGGCTCACTAAGGAATGCCTTCTTTTTGGCTGAGCTACGGATCAGTTTCTTCAGCCAACAAATGATCAGTGGATGTGTGAAGGTTAAACTGCCTCCTTGCACGATCGAGCCACTTCAATGTGTGCTTATGAATTCTATTATGGATAAGATTTCATTTCACACAGTGTCATGCAGTAAGTAATATTAGTTAGTAATATCAGTTAATATTACTGTATAACATTACACTGTATGATTTATCAAAATGAAATCCTATCCATAATGGAGTTATACTGTACCACCACAGTGATCAAGTTTTGTACTTATATCAATGTTCATAAATTCACCTGCTCGTGTCGAGCTGGTTATATTGGCCGTCTGCATAAACCACACACAGTTTCCAAACGCATCTCTGAACATTACTCGGCGCCGTCAGCAATGGGACAATGCAAGACAGATACTAGCTAGCTCACTTCTCAACCACTCAGTGAACTCAAGCCACTCAGCCCCACCGCAGTCGTCTTTTAAAGATTATCTGCAAGGTGAGAACAAGTGATACAAAAGGAGTCAGGTTCCGGTTTTTGTGTTTATCGGAGGCATTGGCAGGCGATTCGTCAATACATCTCCGAACTCTGTACACAGAAAGCATGCGTCCACCCTCTTATTCTACCATCGTCTTAATCTTTTCATTAGTCGTTCCCCCTAAATTTTTATTCTTTTATTTTCAGTGATTAATTTGTTTTCACTTTTATGAATAATTAATTCACTATTATCACTCTTACATGTTCTTCGTGTCCATTTTCTCATTCTCCTCACGCTTGTGAAGTGGGCACTCAACTACCACCCTTCTTCTCACTTAATAACAATTTTAATCCCATCAACTTTCTAACTTTTTCTTCCTTTGTGCCACCATTAAGTATCATTATTATTATAACTTGATTCCACATCGTATTTTTCGTACAAGTGTGGAATTTTCAGCATTTGATATTAATTAGTAGGCCAAATTTATCAGTCCGACCATTGTTATCAGGTATGCATAGGCAGGGGATCGAACCACGGACCCTGTGCGTAGCCTGCTAGAGTCTTAACCGATGTGTCACTGATGCAATTTACAACTTTAACTTTTACTTATGAAGCTACTTCTGATTAATGATATTGATTATGTCACACCCACACACACACACACACTCACACCGCTATTACTCAATAACAGACTGCTTGACATTTTTGGTAAATATAAATATATAAATTAGTTTACTGCAAAATCCATCACTCCTAGACCACAAAAGCCGCGCATGTTTAGCGTCCCAAAAGACTACTTTACATGAATCTTCAATTCGATGGAGACATATCTGCGGAAACACTGAAAAATCGACTGTCGTGCTCACTTAAGAAGACCTTCTTCGTAGCTGAACTACGACTAACCTTCTCCATAAAACCTATGATTCATGTGAACGTGAAGGATAAGCTACCACTGTTGGCCTCATTGATTCACCTGCTCGTGTGGAGCCAGGTATGTCGGCCGTACCCATCCAGCTTTCGCTTTCCAAACACATCCCCAAACGCCAACCAACATGGTTTTACAGAGGAGAAAAACGATGCCCCGCAGCTTCATCTTAGAACATCTGACAGATTCCAGACACCAAGCTACACCCCAAACAAACTTCAAAGTCGTCTTCAGAGGAAGAAGTAGTCTTCCTAAAGGTGTACGAATCAGACTTCTTCGAACTGCAGAAGCGATGGTGATTCACTTGCTAAGTCTTGAACTCCTCATACAGAAGAAGTTCGTTCAATCACTACACTTGCAATGGACGTAGTCTATCTTATTACCCGACAAGTAAATTCTACCTAATCTTATTTTGTCTGAGTCAACTCAATTGTAATATTTTACATTTTCAACCTTCTTGTTCTCTACCCCTACCTGATTTAATTCCTACACCTCACTACCACTGTTACTGACTTGACCAACGCTCAATTTCTAATCATTTATGATACATTATCCAACTTATTTGCTCAATTTTAGTTCTAATTTAAGTGGCATTATTCTCTACCCCGCTTCTACTTACTCTCTACCTGTAATTACCTCTGTTTCTACCCTGACCTAAGTTGAAACATTTTAGTCAGTTATATATTGCGTCATCTAACTTGCTAACTCACTCTTGCCTTATCATTGATATAAGAATAAAACTTGTGCATTGTGGTGGTAGAGTGTAATTCCATTATGGGTAAATTTTGTTTCGTTAAGGTCTGACAGTGTTATACAGTAATGTTTACTGATGACGTTTCGAGCACAATTTATTGCTCATAATCACATCAAGGTGTGAGACTTTATCAAAACAAAATTTAGCCATAATGGAATTACAATCTTACTTTGGCTGCTGTCTAATTAACCTTTTTTCTACATTAGATCACTCTTGTATTACCTGATCAATTATTTAAACTTGACAGACACAAATAATTATTAAAACAATTAGTCCCTTTGATAAATTTGAACAAGGCATTAAGAAGATAAATTTCGCGAGATGATATCGTCATTTCGTAGTTTCTTTACAACTGCTTTACAACTAACATGGTTAACAATGATAAAATAAAGATCATGACAACTACTCAGTTAAATTAAAAACAAAAGTACATACTAATGACCAATCATATTTAGATAGATCATGTTGTCCATGGTAGGCGAAGATTGAAGTCTATTGATTTTTGTATACACACAGTTTAGGCTGTATGTGATTAATCCAAAGTGCTTCCATCACCTTCAATAACCTTGAATTAGAAATAATTATATATAAATGTGATTGTACAGCTAAGTGGATGAATTCGCCATCGAAAAGAGTCTCTTCGCTGAACATCTTCTCTTTTTCACATGATTACTGTAAAGCCTGTGAGGATGATTTCGTAGATAAGGAAGCATTTTCGTCAGTCACTTGTCTTTTACTTTCTTCATGAAGTTGAATAAATAAACTAAGATCAATAAATTACCTACACACACAAACACACACGGAGAAACAGATTGTGGCGCTGTTGACCGACTTTGAACAGACTCTTGATTGACAGTGACTGACTGCAGATAAGCCAGCTGACAAGTGGTCGGCAGGATAACTGGATGATATGGGTGATATCTTTGGTGTATACAAAAGCCTGGAAGGCACTAAGGAGAGATGGACGACCACACACACACACACACGTGGAAGTTTCTGTCGTAACCAGGCTTATCCCTAGCTAAGCGAAATCAGAGGATCGGCCATGTGTGTGGTGGGTGGTGAGCATTGGACAACCGGAGAACCAGCAGTGATGTACTCATCTGAAGATTTGATTGATTGATTGATTTATAAGACTCAATTTTAATTAATGTCTGCCTTACTTCTTCTTCTTCTTCTTCTTGATCAATAATCGATAGGAGAGTCGTCAAGGTCGACTGTAAGATAGTTCCCACACCCATATACTGCTCTTCTCTCTCTCTCTCCTCTCTCCCCCTGTCCCACCAGAATTTTTAATCATCCTGACTGAGTACATAGTCACGTTTCGGAGTACTACTACTACTATTAATAATAAGAATAGCAATAACTTTGCAGATAAGAGAGGAAATAAAAATGAGAAAAATTCTCCTCTTCTATTCTGTTTTTTTATGTTGCCAGTTTGTTTGTCTGCTTGTATGTTTATTGATTAGATCCTTCAAGTTTTTATTATATTTTTGGCAAAAAATAACCCAAAAATAATAATGATAATCTATAGTCACCATGGTAACTCCATGCATCAATCGACTTTTCCCATCAGCGAACAATGATAATAATAAGTATAAGAATAATCAATAACTGTGAATAGCATACATACATGGATCGATCGATGGATCGATCAGTAGACAAATGGATAGTTGGGTTTGTTATTTAGTTAAAAGGAAGAAAATATTGACGATGGGCAAGAGAAAAAATATTAATCTGGTTATATTTACATTGAGTAAAAATTACTTGAATACAACATCTTGAAATATTGATTTATCCTATGTATAATGCGTCGGGTATGGTTATCAGAAATTGTTGGTGGGCTGTGTTGTTATCAAACATGCTTGAAGTCTACTCATTTTGTGTGTGTGTGTGTGTGTGTGCGTGTCTATGTGGAGGCTAGTCATCTAAGCTTGTCCCTTTTACCATTATTAATATATATGCCCCATTGGATTATAAGTGGGACATGAAGCTTCAACAACTCATCGCCATTTCACGCTGTTCTTTCAGTTGTCGTTAACTGATGCCCCTGAGACTGTCCATAAGCAATTCTCATTCCCTCCCCCCCCCCAAGTCCATATCACTCTTGAACGCATACCTAACTGATTGCTTCACCCACTGGGGATTCAGTAGAGGGATAGCCTAGAACGTAGTGTGACTCAACGGTCTCCTCAGTTTGTGTGTGTGTGTGTGTGCGTGTATCCGGTTGATTTCTATTTCTTCTTGTATTTTTATTGGCTGAGCAATAAGGCAGTCATTCTGATAGTATTACTGGAAGACGGAGATTATCTGAAAAGCAGTGTGATGTATTG